TTGTTCCCCTGGGGTGATGATACGTGCAGCACACTTGAAATTTAGCAAGGACAAATTTTTATGTGATTTTGGGTGAAGAGAAACAAGTTTTGTTTTTTTTTCGGAAGGGCCCTTTATCACCGTATGCATAATTATGCGTCCCGCAAAAAAAAGTGATCAGACATTAGTATAGAAAACTCCGTCTCTGTCTGGATTTTTGGTAGCCTATTGACCAGTTCCCAATCGAGACTTAAGTCTGACGGGACGCGTAATTTTGCTCATGGTGGTAAGTAGCCTACTAACCGGAGCCAGGCTGTATGAATTTTCTAGACATCTTGAGTACTACCTGTGATAGACGCTTGCCAATTCCCCTATCGGCTTTTGGAATCGACTTAACCTTACTATTGCAATGGGCGAACACCTCTTTAGGCACTCTACATCTACTATTGGAACCAAAACTCTACCCAACATCTATGTGTGAGGTAAATTGTAAGATCATCGATATCTGTCAGCGTCTCGAAGATGCCGGCAAGCGACAAAATACGATCAACTTCATTTTCTGGATCTGAAAACTTGCAACTCCGCGAGTGACTTGAAATTTCTTTTTTACAACTATGCAAGGGAACGACTAGAGATATGCAACTTTGGTCTTCTCGATTACTAAACCCACATGTTCCACCAGCGAACGATTTTTAAATTTTTAAAAATAAAGAGCAAATCTCCGTGTTAGCATGTTAGATGAGACGCTTTCACAACAGATAATTACCTAAATCAGTAAGTAGCTTGTCAATCAAATTGACTTTTGTAACCATTCTTTGACTTCGGCCAGCAAAGGAATCATTGATGGATCTTTAGTTTTCTAAATACAGTATTTCCGGAAAGGTTTTTCTAGATATCATGCAAAGAGGAAAAAAAGCCATCTCTTGGTATTTCGGAGATTGATGCATCTTTGAATTTATGTGTCACGCTCGTCATGCAACTGATATAATAAGATTGAGAGGATTTTAAAACTGGCTAGAATGTGGTAGAGCATAACGTGATCATTGAAACAGCTTATAAAATCATAAATAAACAAGGTAAGAGTGCTATTTTAGATTTTTTTACAAATTGTAGTGATTTATGCCAGTAAAAGGTGGCAACAAGTAGGCACACTTTGTATGTTTCATAGTCGTTAGAAAGTAAATTTTGCGGGACTTTGAGTTCGTCTCAAGAGAGAACAACACAAATACACATGGAAATTTTTGCAGCAACTTTTTAACCATCCTTTTGTCTTTTAAAAGCTCGAAGCTCAGTAGATTCTGTCATATCGGTCATTGTTAAAACTGTCTTTGTTTTGATGCTACTATTCGACATCGGAAAAGTATGTCGGACAAAAATATTCACCAAAAAATTAATATTTCTTTACCAGCTTCAACATTGACAGAGGATCAAGTTTAGATGATAAAACAAGGGATTATGTTGACAGAAATACCGAGGTCAAGTATATTCGTTACATCAGGTCACACAACTCCGGTAATATTCACGGTGAAAATTTGCATATTTGAGCGGTCAAACGAAAAAAATAATTTCTCGAAAACTAAAATATATTTTCTTAAAAACCTGCACCACAACTATAAGGAAATATTGGGCTACAAAATATGAAAGTAGGAGTTAAAGCAAATTTTGGGAGACATGCCGCTGTTTGCAATTGTCTGATGCTTGCTGACATGAGCTCTTAATTTATTGCCGATACCTCTTTCCTTTTCACCTCCTAATTCCCTTCCTTTCTGT